CCCAAGGAGACAGGTAGGAATGTCAGAGAGAGTCCACAGCAGACCCCAGCCAGGGTTTCAGAGCTAAATTTAGAAGCTATTTAGCTGTGAGAGAGCAGAAAACAGTCAAAGGTGGCAGTGGCTTCAAAGAGTCCTGAAGTGGGGACTCAAGGGCAGGACAGTCCTCTGATCCATCCTTAATTCCCATGCCAAGGGATGGGATAGACAGAAAACAAGGAGAATTCTTAGCTGAAACTTCTTTCTTGAGCAGTCTTGGAAAAGCCTTTTAGTAGCAATACAGCCATTAATGAAATCTAATCATATGATAAAAAGGCCACAGAGAGGGACTGTAATTTTGGTTTGGCTGGGGTAGAGTTAATTTTCTTCCCAGTTTCTGGTATGGGGCTGTGTTTTAGATTTGTGCTGCAGTGTTGAAAAAACAGGGATGTCTTTGCTATCTCTGGGAAGTGATTACACAGAGCCTAGCTGGGTTCTGAAATCAACAGGTTGTACTAAAAACTGACATTTCAATATAAAATGTCATGCAGACTAAGAATGAAATTTAACTTTGGAATATTTTCAGAAACACAGGGAAATGTCTTCTCAGAAAAGTTTCTATTTCTGAAGATTTTCAAAAATCTACAATTTCACTCTTCAAAATAAAATTTACTAGATGTGAAAAAATGTATGCCACAGTAATTACTAAAAATTATACACTTCCAAAAATAAACAAGCATCTATTCAATGTTGCATTTTAAACTTTTTTTTTTTTTTTTTTTTTTTTTTTTTTTTTTACATTTTTGCCCCAGAACTGCTTCTTTGTAGGAGCAGCAAGTTTGCTTTCAGACCAGTACAGACCTGACTCATATTCCTTTAACCTATTAGGCTTTGCTTATGGCTTTTTGAGCTATCCAAATAAAAATTTGCTACCTGAAAACAGCTCATTTTCTCCTAAAAGGGTGAAGTCAATCCCAGCATTTTCATTTTAGGATGTGCTTGTCCACCAGCAACTGGAGCTCATAGAAAGAGACACTGCACTGTTGAGAGTAGGGAGGTGTTTGAGCATCCCTGCTGTGCCCTTCATAAATTCAGAGATAATTAAAGCTTTTTAAGGTGAGTGCAGGTTGCAGCTAAGCACTCTGTGATTTAAAACCAGGATCTACTTGTCTGTCGTGTCTTTTTCTTCCAGGTTCCTGTTGTTGCGAGCACAGCAGAATTTGAATAGGATAAGCACTCTTCATAAATTCCTGCTTTCCATAAATTGCCCATCAGATCAAAAGCAGAACCTCCATGCAAGAGCACAGAAATCTCCAGCCTTTGATTTGGAACAGATGAGGCACCCTATGTTCCTCTAAGATTAAAAAAACCCTGTTGGCATCGCACGGAAGAAAAAGAAGCAAAGGGACGACGGGAAATCATTCAAAACAAAGGAGATGGAAATTCAAAAATAGTATGGGCAGCCCAGGTGACAGATTGAGAAGCGGATGAACTGCAATTAAAATGACAATTTCATGGCCAAAGAGGTGCTCCAGACACGAGATTGAAAATAAAGACCCTCTGGACTAGCAGTGAGCTCAACACAATATAAGCAGTCTTCTGATGGGAAGGAAAATTGAGGCAAACCACTAATTACAATTTTGCAATGTAGTTAGAAGAAGTTACCTCTATCCATGATTTCATAGGTGTATTTCCAAATTAAAGGAAGAAAAACAAGGGTGAACCAAATCAGGGAGAAAATCACTAGCTCAACTGGAAAATGCAGGTACTCATTTCTCAAGCTTATTGAATGGGTGATCAAGGAAAAAGGTGACACCCCCTTTTTGTTTATCACAAAAGCCAACCATGGAAAAAAAAAAGAGTGTACTTTTTTCCTGCAGAAAAGGTTGCTCAGCTCTGGTGGGTCAGGGCAGAGGTCTCTCCCTCCAGCCCAGGCTTCAGGTCCTGACAGAAGAAACTGTAGACCCCAGGCAAGCAGGTGGAGCATTTCCAAAAAGGAACAGCTGGAATGCTTCTGTCTTGACTCTTTCTGGACCTTGGGATACTCTGCTTGCAGTAACTACACCAATATCCACTGGTGTAGAAAATACCCATTTCCAGTATGCTTAAAGGGTTAATATATTTGCAGATAATAGGCCAAGGACAGTTAGAGTCTACACTCGTAGGAAATGCAGATGAACAGACTAAATTGGGTTTTTGGTTAGGTTCCCCCTTTGCCCTCCAAGTTGCAAATGCAGAATCACTTAAAAAAGTCAGTGTAAGAGTAGGGCCTCAGAACCAGAACCCTTCTGAGCAGTTTATTTCTACACCAGACTCAAGTGAACTGTACACTCACTTGACAACTTTGATACACTCACATAATAGGTCACATTGACCAAGTGAAATAAACCCTACTCAAGTCTAAGTTCACAAGGTTTCAGTCAAGGAAAAAGAAAATCATTGAAGCCAGAAGCCAAAAGCCTGGAATTTGCTCTCCAGGAAAGCTACAAACTGACCTACTCTCTTCTACATTCTTTTTATGGTCCTACACCACGTACTCATGACATTATCAAATCTGGGACAAATTTACTCCTGCTCAAGGCACAATTTACATCCCCACATCTCTCTTTCTACATTTTGCAGTTCTTCAAAAGGACCAATTGAAGAACTGAGGTCTAAGTCTTAAAACTTCTCATTTCTGTTCTGCTTCAAGGGAAAGGATGGAAAATAACTGTCCTGCAGAAGGAAAAGAGCAGGAAACAAAGTCAGAAGACCTGAAAGGAGTAAAAGAGGAATCTGCTTATCCCCACCTCATAAAGCAAGAACAATGCCAGGTAACACGGTGGTTTGCATTCAATATATAAGACAATGGATTAATTAGCCATAATCATGGCCAGCCAGAAAATGTTAAAAGGTCACTTGATACTAATTGTGAGCAAGACAAACTGAGCTGCTTAAAAAAAAAACACTGTAATGAATAATTTCTCAGGGCTTAGCAATTCTGCATGCTTCTGTAAATTGCTCTTCTCCATTATGGTTGAAAAGCATTCTGCTAATTATTAATTGGATAATGATTTGTTTCTATCACTAATTCAATAAGGTGCTCAGAAGTGCATTTTGAAAGTTCCCAGCTCTAGAGACCATAAATATCAGACTTGTCTTCAAGTAACCTTGGAAGGCAAGTCCCAGGTGATAGAAGTGGAGCCTATGGAACTTCTGCTCATTTTTAGTCACTCTATGCCCAAAGTCACTGACCACCTCTCTGCCTCTGGCGTGGGCCCTGTGCCAGGGCAGTGCCACAATCATTTCTGCTCACATAAAAAGCTGAAGACAAAAAAGTGAACAATATTCCCCTGAAGTTACCACTCCCTACTACCTCCCTAAGAGAAGCCAGACCATTAAAAATGCCACATAAATATCACTGACAGAAAACAGGCTTCAAGGTTATTTAGAAAAGCCACACACAGAGACAACCTCCCCTTTTTAATAGTGATAAAAACCCTGAGTTTCTCAAAAGAGCAAGTCATGCCACAGGCAAACCCACCTCTCAAAACCCAGCTCCCTTTTGCAGAAGAAAAGGTAATGTGGGGGAAAGGTATACTACTCCTCCTTCATGGGCCACAGAGGCATAATCAATTGGTACAAAAGCACATTGTTGAAACACAAACCATGGAAAGCTGCTTTATGAACCTGTGCAGCCAGCTGGAACAGCCATCAACAGCTGCAAGAGGAATTCACTCCAGGACTGAATCACTTCATTAGGGTGGAGGTTTTTTTTCTTTTTATTACACACAGCTCAGGCTGCTGATCCCCATCATGAAAACCCTCCAGAGAGCTGATTTCTCTGCTCCCTTACACTCTCAGGAGCATTTGTGGTGCCCACTGTATGACTTAATCTCCTCCTGAGACATCATTTCTCCCTCTCCTATCATACAGCTCATCAGCAGTCTTCCGAACTCCTACATCCTGCTCTATGGTGTCCCAAGACTTTTGGCTGAAGGTCAGAGAGCAGCAGTGGTTTGGGGGCAGCCCAGCTAGAGATTTTGCTCCTAAAATAAAGGCTTATGCCTGTGATAAGTGATAGGACAAAGGGGAATGGCTTCAAACACATAGTGGTCAGGGAAAGATTCGATATCAGGAAGAAATTCTTAACTGTGAGGGTGGTGAAGCTCTAGCACAAGTTTCCCAGAGAAGCTGTGGCTGCCCCATCCCTGGAAGTGTTCAAGGCCAGGCTGGATGGGGCTTGGAGCAACCTGGGATAGTGGAAGGGAGCTGAAATGATATTTAAGGTCACTTCAAACTCAAACCATTCTATGACTGCAATGAACTACATATCACAGAAATTGGGGGAAAACACCCAAATGGAATGACATATCCCGCTCTCTCTGATTTTATTTCTGTCTTCTTTGTGATACAGGTTACTTGATTACACAAGAAATACAGATGGACAGCACCCCAGCAAGCAGTGACATGAAAATATACTCTATGAACTTGAGCTTAACACTGGCACGTAACTGCAAGGAGGAGACCACTGGCTGTTTGAAGCCATGTGTGCCTGGCATGAGGGACAGCAGGTGACATCACAGGCATTTTATAATTAAATATAATTATCTCTAGAAAATTGCAAATTCCTTCATTGAAAACAACCATGAAAACCTCCAAATTTAGTGAAAGGGAATAAAAATTTCTAAACAAGAAAAAGCAGAAGTAGGAAATATCTTCAAAGAAAACACTGATTGAAATAAATATACCTCCTCTGAAGCTTGTACTTTTACGGGATTTTCAGGAAAATAAAAGAAATGCCTCTGGTATTCTGGCAGTGTAGCCAGCTTTAGCCTTCTTGTGCTTCATTTCCATTGCAGAACTGCCAGCAGATCCTTACACTGAGGAAAACCTCAGTCTTAAGGAGCAACAAGAAGATATTCGAAGAACACCCACAGCAAACTTGTGAGAGCTAGTCCAGCAAGCACACACCTCGGATAAACTCCACAATGAGCCACAGAGTGCAATTCCCACTTGTTGGGGGCTGTTTGACATCTCCTTACCCGAGCTGCTACAGCGAGATGGCTCCACCAGTCTGCCGGTCTTGTCGTAGCAGGCGATGGCTCGCAGCCGCACGCCCTGGCCGCACTCCCTGGCCGCTCCCTGGGCCGCCATTCCCAGCTGCAGCTCGGAGGGACCCCCTCTGATAATGCAGTCAGACCAATTTCCATGGGGCTGGGAGGTGAACGCCTCGCAGGGGCACGGCTCCGTTTCAACTTGAGGATAAACTTCTGTGTTCTGGCATTTGTCTCGCTTTCTGCTTCGCCCTGCTCCAACCACAGAAAGCTGCGCGTTAGCTCAACATCTGCTACTCTTGATAACAACACGTCATATTATTTATACTTGCATGAATTCAACACATTAGAACCAAGACAATCTGAATGTTAATATTCAGGGATGTTTCTGAAGCATCTATTAGCTGCTGCCAGTGCTCTGGCATGCAAGGACAAAGTACTTATCTCCAGGGGCAACCAGAGAACTTGGAAATCCTGTTCAGATGGGTAGATCAAGGAGTAAAACACAAAGTCTTACTCTAGGAATGGTCTGCCCAGAAACAGCTTTGTAATTTCATATAATATCATTTTCCTCTAATTATCTGATGAAAATAAATTGTTTTGTTTCTATTTGTTCACCATCAGTGGTTGCCAGGACAACTTCTGGAGGACCCTACATTAGCTACAACTTCTTTGAGACTTCTTTACAAATTAGTTAAAGATGAGCTGTGCACACAAACCATGCTTTGAAGAAAACAGAAAAAGATAATCCTCAGTAAATTATTAGGGCTGGAAAGCATTTCAATGGTTGTGTTTGCTTTTATGCTTTCCTTTGCTCTGCTCCTTCCACAGGTTTTAAAAGAAGGCTCTTCCAGTAGTTTTAGGAAGCTGCAGCAGCATCCAAATGAGCCCACAGCTCTGTGTAACTGCACTCTCCGTGCCCTCCTCCTGCAGGACTTCAAGGCATGAGAAGGGGTCCCCAGTACAAGAAGAAATAATGTGAAAAAGAGAGTTCAAGCTCCCTGCATCCCTACAACTGCTCAAGGGAACAAATGTCTGTACACAGCCTCTGAAGATAAAAATCAATGTTTTTCTTGGCACAGGTCAGCCAGCATGCCATGGAACAATCTTGATGCTGGCTGAGCTCAGGAATGTCTTTGCATTTGGCATCCACAGAGAAGGGAGAATTCATCTTCAGCAACAAACTGCACCTGTATCCCATCCTCAAAACATTCCTTGGGGATCTTGGATGTACTAAAAACACTTCTGCAGAAAGTTTTTAAAGCTTTGATCCCAGAAGAAACATTTTCTCTTCATTGCACACAAATAAGATACTAAAAGCAAAAGATAAGTTATATAACTCAACAGCCCCCTTTCCAGTCTGGAACCAAGAGCCATTTCACCACATACAAGCTGGGTCTTATCAATGCCTATTTCCATACAAATCTGTACCTCCAAAGGAAAGGGCCCTGACTATACACCCTTAGTATCACCATCTTTCAAGCCCCAGCTCTTCCACAATTGTATTGCATATATTTATGAGGAAATGCAGGTGCAACTCCCCATATTTCAAGGAAAGTCTTTTAAAAGACATTAACTAGATTGGGAGCTCTCTAATGGCATTTCCAGCCTTTTCTGTTTGAGAAGCCATGAGGAGCCACCAACTCTCTATGTTCAGTTGTGTGTTCTGCATTGTATTAGCAAACATGGGAATTGGGGATTTGCCCATGTTTTGCCATCAAGACACGAAGCACAACAGACTGAGGTAAGGATGCTAATAATCTCACACTTATGTGACTGGGTTTTTTCCAACTTGCCCTGCCATCTGTTTTGTTGGAATCTTCCCCCTTAATGAAGTTGCTATGAAAGCCCTATTTTAAGGGAAAAAGTGACACTGATCCCATACTCTTCACAACAAAATATTTTTAGAATTAGTGGTAGTGATATTTTTATCATCTTCACAGACTGCTTTAAAAACCACTGTGTTGCTAAAAATACCATCTCTGAATTTTTGAGGACACAAACCCATCAGTCAAATATTATTTTCTTTTAAAATTACATTTCTGAATACTAACAAACATTATATATATTAATACTATCAGGTAATACACACTATACATTAAAATGATAGGAAATATTAAATATACAGGAAGGGCTTTGTATCCGTAATACGGTGAATTAACTGACTGTATTAATTAACTGAAGACTCAACTAAAAACTCTGTTTTCATTATAATGACTTTGAATTTTGCTATGTTCTGTAATAAGTCTTTCACTTAAGTAATGACTAATTTTATATGTAGAGCTGATGATGAATTACAAAGTAAAATGAATTATACTATTAAAAATTGAGTGGAGGGCAAGCAAATACTTAGCAAACAATTAGAAGATTTCCACTAAATGACATTATTAATGAACTCCAAAGCATTCATTTGAGCATAGGCACACACAGTTGATGAACAAGAGGAACAATTCATGCACACTTACAGAGAGGTGAAATGCAAATGGATAAAGGACTCTTCACATCACAAAATATTTTTGAAAATTGCATTTTCCTTAAATCTTTGGACCAAGTTCCTGTGGATGAGGTTTTTTTCAAGACTTTTGTCCACCTCTATTTTTCAAGAAGTATTTATGCAAATACAAGTTGGCACCTGTCTCACTGACTTGCCCTTTTCAGAGGGGGCCAAACCAAACCCAGTGTCTGATCTGGTTGTTCCTTGCTGCTCCCTGGGGCGTTGTCACACCCCCACCTGGGACACTCACTGCATGTTCACCTCTTGCTTTTCAGGACACCTTCACTGGCATGGGCTGAGACCATGAGCTCCATCCTGGCCCAGCAAGGTCTGATGGGGAGAGACTCATGATGGCTGGTCACAAATGCAATGCAGGTGAGGAGACAAGCCAGCAAACCTGGGCATTGCAAACCATTTTTGATCCACTCACTTGAACAATCTCTATTTGATATAGAACAGAGTAAGAAAGGGGATAGGTAGAGCTGTACTGTTTTGTAACTTGCACAACATTCATAAAGAAAAACCACACTTAAAACCATCTGTAAGTAATTATTCATTATTTTCTACATATTTTTTTTAAGATCAGGCACCTATTATTTTGCTGGAGATCAAGCTTTTCTCCTACTATAAACATACAGGAGCGGGTATAGAGAACACTTTAGAATGTGCTCTTTGCCAGAAACCACAGAGCACTGTATAATACTGGGGTTTCATGTGAAAAAGAAATCTTTATCCATTAATGAGCCACACTGATGAATGGCAGCTTGAAATCAGTATAAATGTATGCTGTAATTGTTAGTTAGTAAAACACACAGAACATTCCAGCAGTAACAGACTAAGAAGACAGCCATGCAGCCAAGGACAAGTGAGTCTAGGAGGAAGGAGCAGTGGTGGCCACCACATTTTGCTGCCCTTCAGATCCCAGCTTTTATCTCAGTAGATATTCTTACAGAAACTTCAGCACTCTACTCCACAGTCAAAATCTTTGAAGTTTCACCTCTATTAAAGGAGCAAATTCAAGCCAGGTACATATTAGCTCTCAAACACAACACAGAAACATGAAAACATGTGAGTGTTGAAAAAAACAGTAACAGAAAATTTCTTGTAAACCATATAAGAACAGTATAATTAATTTTTATTTGATTTAACTACGCACATGGGGGAAGACAACTCCAAGCAAAACATGCAGCTCCAAACTATTCATGCTAAGATTTATAAAGCTTTTAGGTTTGGTCAGCATTCAAATAACATAATAATAAACCTCAACAGCAAATATGGCAGGCTGCTCCATCAAATGGTTTGAACCAATGAGTTTAAATGAATACATGTAAAAGATCAAACAAAGCTGTTCTAATGGTACTGGGTTTTCTTTATTCATGGTATTAATTTGCCCTGCTGAACTGGGGCATACTGCTGAGCACAAAACTCCCAGTTTGAAACTTCCTCCAGAAAATCCCACTGATTTGTACTCTTGTATATGTATTTTCTGCATGCTTCCCAGATTAATAGGTCAGATAAACTTGCTCAAAGCCTGGTCACTGTTTCATTTAGTTTATATCTAAAACCTTTTCACCAGTGAGTTTTTCTGCACTGCTCTTGCACTGGAATGCGTATAAGGCTGGCAGTGATCAGTATCAGATCAAAGACCAGTTAAGGATGGTAACTGTTCTGTGTGGATTTTCCCACCACTCCAACACTCAGGCATTATCCCCAGTCAGACAAATATTGAAAAGGATTATACCTGTGAGCGATCTTCTCCTGCTCCTGGTTGTGTCACAGTCAGAGGAGCAGGCTGTGAATTTAGACCAGGGGGTAAAAGTGCAGTCATCCTTGCAGGGAATGAGGCACTCCTGGACGAGGGCTGGCATCGCTCCTGCCCACCGCACGCAGTCACCGACGGCGGCAGAGCCACCCTGCTCCGACAGGCACGTCACAGCTGCAAGCAATGGGACAGAAATCTTTATGTTCCTACAGATATATATTGTATTACACTCTGGGCAGTCAGTCCTGGTGTTCTATGTGAGATTCACTCCCCTGGATTAACAGAATAAAGCTGATTTGGTTTTAGGGCATTGTTCATGTGTGATGTGCTGGAAGCTTCACAAAACCATAAAGACACATTCTTATTTGACCAGTGTGTTATCTAAATGATGATATAAACTCAATATTCTCAAGGAGGCAGTCATTTTAAAGGTTGTGGGGATACTTTAGCCAATGATGGATTGTACAACCAAGCAAGAAAACAAGTAACACTGTGGCCATGTGCTAGAATACATATTTGGTGAAGGCCAGGACTCACAAGCTGTGATGCACTTGCTACTCATGGAATTGTGACTGCTTTAAAGTGGTAAAAAAAGCCCCTAAAAACCTTCCTTCTCCAAAACTGTATTTTTTTCAGTATTTCAGATGAAGGGAATGACTGAGCAGATGCTACAGCTGAATGCTTCTTGCAGGGAGGTGTACGTACCAGGTCTGGCCCCTCCATATTGAGCTCTCTAAATATTATGATACCTCTTACACTCTCCCACTTTGTCTGTTCTCCTTTTTTAGAACTAATAATTAATTTTTCACAGTGGATACTGGTACTGTATAGCCATGACAGAGAACAAAGTAATGTATGAATCTGAGTCACAGGAAGCCTGGGATAAAACTTGCTAAACTCAGTGAATTAATAGTAAGTCATTATAATAAATAAAAATAGCCTGCACATCATGGAGTCTTTCATTTCATTAATAATAATTAATTCTCACAAAATCTCCAAGATTATAGGCTATTTATATCCTCCAGTGTAGGTTAAACAAAGCAAAGGTAGGTCATGACTTGATTAAGGTAATAAACTCAGGGACAGAGTAATGAACTGAATTTGGCCATGAGAGTTCAGTCATATTGGGCTCTCTGACTCTAGGCAAATCCACACATTGTATCATAAAGCTACTAAGGATGAAATTATTTAATCCAGATTTTATTATTTAACTTTAACAACCTGTGATATCATTTTATGACAGTTGCTAAATAATTCATGTTTTTGAGGCTGCATATATTTTCCTTGTTGCCAGCATTTAATGTGAGTAATAGTGCATGAAAAGAAAGGTAAAAAGAATTCTGTTTTCTTACAGTTAAAGAATTTACTGGGGTGTAACTCTGCAATGAATACACATGATTTTTTTGGTTTTAACTACAGTACTGTATGGGAGAAAGGCATGGCTGCATGGGAGAAAGAAATGGCTTGGCAATCACCTGGAAATAAAAAAAACATCTTATTAAAATGTAATTAGATTCCATGCAAAAAATCAGCATTTTCAAGAGCATGCAAAAGGCAAGCAATTGTTAAAAGTCTCTTTAGACTCAAGTGACAGCAAATCAGCATATTAATAAGCACCTCTAAATTGCTGATCCTTGCCTTTCACTTGCAATCCTGTGACCCTTCCTAGCTCCCAACTCCAGCCGTCAGACTGGGAGCCCTCCTTCTCCTCAGTTACAGGACAGAGGTCACTGCTCTGTGCGGGGACACGGCGTAATCGCCCTCTTCAGGAAGGTTAAACAAGTGAGACTCTGGTGCCCAAGGTCTGTGTAGCCTCATTACTTTGAGCAAGGACACCCCAGGTCTGTGACCACCTGAGGTCTGGGCTGAGGGGATGCAGAGCATCTCCTCAGCATCGCGCCGGCGGCTGCAGGGACACGAGCATCGTCCTCCAGGGCCAGCCCCACGCAGCAGGAATTGTGACTGCAGAGCAAAGCACCCTGATGCAGTGCTCACTGGGAGCTGACAGAAAAGCACAGTTCATTCCTGACATTTATTAATAATGTCAGTACAAGTGATGGAAGTTCTAGGTATCGATGTTAAACCAGACACCCCTTTGCTGTGCTCAGTTATTATCTAACTGCCCGACCTCCTGCACAAACGACCACAATTTTAAGCATAGAAATAATTCACCAAGCTCACTCAGCCTATTTGGATGCTAAAATAGATGGATATATATATATATATTTAAGGACATATGAAATCAGGGCAAATATTTGACAGAGATCATGGAGCTTAAAGAAATTATTGAAACAGAAACATGAGAGGGGAAAGTTAAATTAAAATAACAAAGAGTGGATTAGATGTGTACAATCATGGAGACAAGAAGGGGCTGAAAAGAATATTTAATGTGTAATCTAGAAAGAGACATAACACCTAAAGGAGGGGAGGAGGAGATCTCCTGTGACTTTTGCTACACACTTAAAACCCGGCTTGAGGTGAGCTGCATGAACTGCTAAAAGGAACAATGATAAAGCAAAAGCCCATCAGGACATTTTAACAGTTTGGGAAGGGGCAGACAGAAACCCAACTCCAGTGGTTCCATCAGGAACCAATCCCCTCATTTCTGCTTCCTGCAAACTTCCCAGTTTACTTAATTTCTAAGAGAAAAATATTTTCATATACAGGGACTTCTGGAAAGAGAATGACAGAAATTTGTTTTCAGTGAACCTTCAGGAAAGTAAAATTATTTATCCTCAGTGGTTTCAAACTACTGATTGGTTTGGCTCATATATGGTTCATGCTGCATAAAAAATATTTCCCCTTAATCCTCAGTTCTGTCACAATGGCTTTAAATAAACTCATACCACAAAGCGATTTCTATTATGTCAAGATCTCTTTTGTTTTTTCAAGTGGGATACCCCCAGAGAGCAAATGCAGTCCATTTGCAGCCCTATGCATTGAGAAAAAAAATCAGAGTAATAAATCCCTCCTAGGCATAATGTGTGATTTCTACCGTCTCTGCAGCATTTAAAATGGGCACAAACATATGAATAAAACAGCTAATAATAGGACACTGCCAGATAAAGGCTTTCAAATTATAATATTGATTCCCACAAAGAGAGGAAATGCAGGATTTCCTTTTGAACTCCTGCTATTCTTTTTTATTACCACCAGTCAACCCCACCAAACTGGAATTAAACACTTGGGGCCAAACTGTGGGATGACATTTTAATGCAGTTCCACTGATATAAAAAGAACTGCTGTCACAAAAAAATGAAAACCAAAACACTTTCTCTTGTAATGACAAACATGGGATCATGAATTAAACTGAAGGGCAGCCAGGTTTAAGAGGCTGAAAGAAAATACCTTTTTTCAGGGAAGGGCTGGAATTGTTTAGCAGACTGTGTGGATGCACCTGTGAAGCGATTAATATGAGCAATGAAAATAGCTGCAGATGCAACTGCCCTGCTTCAAGGCTTAAGTCAAGTGTTAAATGTAGAGCTTAGGGAGCAAATTTCCCTTTCTGCTGCTACAGAAAGGAGTCTCCCACCAGGAGACTGAGCAAGGACTGCTAAGGGGATATTCAGTGTGACAGTCTCTGTCTTCTGGCTTTGCATTCCCACCCACAAGAGCGTGTCTGTGTGCCAGCATCTCAGCATATGGCACACGCAAGCATATGGGAGCTACATTCTGTAACTACATTTCTCCTCAATTGGAAGGAAATAACAGACACTTCTCCTATAAACTTTTAGATGGTGAAATCAAATGTTTGTACACTGTCAGATTGCAGAGGCACTGAAGGCATCCTTGGATGGTGTCACATCATCACCAAAGATGTGTGTGTGTGTGTGTGTGTCAGCATCAAACTGAGGGAAATCACGTGCTCTCGCGCGCTCCTGCCTGACTTAAGGGCACTGGAGATGATTCTAACAAAAGGAAATGTATTGAGAATGAAATATTACAGGCACAGCACTGCCTCCAATAAGGAAACATAACCCAAGTTTAATTCCTCTTAAGTAAAAATCCAATTACAGACAGCCTCTGTAATCATATTCATTTACCGAAGTTACAATCAATTCTCCTCTAAAAATGCATTCCAGCAGATTCCAAAGGGTAAAAAGCTAAAGACTGAGAGTGTCAACTATGAACCAGTAAAATTATATTGTACCATGGCACTTTCAATTTGAGAAAAGTAAATTAGTGTTTTCAAAACTCTGGAATTAAATGTCATTAGAACATCTGAAAACAATGACTGATAATTCCAGGAAGGTACACTCAGGCCAAACACAATAACTAAAGCTATGCAGTAGTGCAAATCAAACGATTGGAATTAGTACAGGAACAATAGGATGAGCTATGAGGCTAGACAAGAGCTTTAATGCCAAGAGGTGTAGGCAAAATAAGGTCATAATCTTCCCTGTCTTCAAATTCTAAGAATGGCTGAAAAATCAAAGCCAGCATGTAAAGTTAAAGAAATTATTAATACAGCTGTTTATCCTCTTGTTCAGAAAAATCCTCACCTCTGCTGCATATTTATTCTTGGTATCCCTCAATGTAATGAGATAACACATCATTTCTTACACATATCACTACTGGTAAGTGAAAAAGAAGTTAAGGGATAATATATTAGAAAATTAAAGAATAAAATAACTATAAGGGTCTAGACTTGCTCACTATAAGTATAGTCCCATAACTCATGAAGACCTCATTTATTTTCTATATTGATGCTCCTTCATACTTACAAGTTTCTTCAGAATCCCAGGTGGAACATTTACACTATTACTGGTATGTTAATGCAACCCCTAATTATAGCAGGCCAGAAGCAGACCTAATAGAAGACATAAGATAAAGCTCTGCTGAGACTCAGGTTGAGGTTTAAAGCCCTGATTCTACAAGGACATAAATATACACTTAACTCCATCCCCGTGGCAGCCTCCTTGGATGCAGCAGCACTCCCTGCCATGAAGTGTGTCCACAGTCTGGACTTATAAAAATGCGCCATAAGATAACCATTAAAAGTAAGTCTGAGGAAAAGAACAAATGATGCCAGGAAGGGCATCACAGACACCAATCTTGTACAAGTAACTGAGGAAGAGCTGGGACAACTAGTTATTCAGCAGGAAAACTGTCTCCGAGGCCACCAGTTTCCCATTTTGTAATTATTAATGATATTGACAATAGTGCTAAAGGGC